TTTGGTCGTAAGTTGAGTAGGCTATATGTACAGTACTGTGAAATGACGTTATAAAAATCTTTAAGTCATATTTTATGATAATTTTCTTTCATTATTGTTATATATCATAATTTTTTTTGTTCATTTTATGCCATTTGTATCATCTCTACACCATTTTGTTTCTTATTTTTACATTCGTCAGGTTTAAGTAAAACACTGCATTACCAGTACAACTGGTTTAATATTTGTAAAACTTACAAAATTACAAAATACAAGTGTATACAAAAATACAAAATACAGGTGTAAAAAAAATAGCATAGGAAACATTTTCCCAATTGCAAAACATATCAAAATATATAAACATGTCCGAAACATTTTATTGGCCGCTGGTGCTTGGCTGCGGATCGTTGATGTCGTCATCTGAGGCAGCAGTTGGGGTTACGGGAGTTGGTTTTTTCATAAACATGGTGAGCTTTGTCTGAATTGTATATTTCTTTTTTTCTTCATAAATTTCACGATACGAACGATACACATCGTGTGCCATCCGTTCAATCCTTGCAATCGATGTTTGGGTCCATTGCTTCGAAATGTATAAGAAGTTTATTCAGTAAAGATAAACCGTCTGATAATCCCTTAGTGGTGAACTTTCTTTCTGGCTCCTCCTCTTCTTCCTCTGCTTCTCTTCTTTCTTCTTCCGCCACTCTTCTTCCAGTTCGATTAGCTCTTCATTTGCAAGTTCTCTGGATTCTTTGTCTAGCAACTCTTCAACATCTTCCATTTCACACGCCAAAGAAAGGTCTTTAGCGAGTTTTACTATTTTTTCCCGAATCGTTTCAAGTTCATGTTCACTGTCAAATCCGTCAAAATCATTAACATAGCGCTTAACACAATTTTTCAAGATGCCATTCATGCACTTTGTCATCACAGCCTCCCAGGCGGTAGTGATATTCTTGATACACATCAAAATGTGGTAGTGTTTTCAAAAATCTACAGCGGAGCAGTCGTGGCTAGCGATTGTGGTCGTAAAGTCGAATGGTCGTAAGTTGCATAGGTCGTAAGTCGATCAATACCTGTATTGCCTTTGCCCCTTTTCTGAAAATCAGCTTATTGTGTTTGTGAGTCTGTTGCTGGACTCCATTTTGATCTGTTGATTTTTCCCCAATACAACACTATTGTGAACACTGGAGAAGTAACATAATTGCCGTATGGGGCTGGATGATTAAAATTCCTAATCAACAGCTTCACACAATGCTCCTAACACTAGGCAGGGCCCTCACCTCACCTGAGGATCCCATGCCTCCCACCTTCCCAGGGGATTTGCTCTTGCAGTGATCACTCCTCTCTCCTGAACCATCAATGGCTCCCTGTATATGGGATCAATCCCTAAGACAAGAAGGAAGTCACCTTCTTCCAATGCACTGAAAACATAATCAACAAACAAATAACATAGACTTAATGTGAATCCTGCCATCATGTAGGGTGAATTCCCCGAAGTTATATTTCAGATTCATTTTGGATATTCTGGTTCATTTTCCTTTGTAGATAATTTTGAAATTGGAGTCTAATGAACTGTGTTGCATAAGTTCATGCAGTTTTCCTCTGCAGGAAAGCGGATAAATGTGTTAGTAGCTACAAAATGACATGTGGGGAGAAAGTGAGTTTTCCTTTAGCTTGGGTAATGATCCAATGTAGAGGGAGCAGTGGGTGGTTCAGGAGAGAGGCGTGATCATTGTAGGAGCGAGGCCGGTAACAAGTTGGGAGGCATGGTATACTGACCTGAGGTGAGGGGGCTGGCTTGAGTTAGGAGTGTTGTTTGTAGAAGGACAGCAGAGAGTGTCCGTGAATCACTGAGGGTGAGGGTGACCTTGGTCGTCCCTGACATAGTGGCAGCAACAGTGTGATTCACCAGCAAGATCTTGACTCACTATAACATGGTGAAATCTTTCTTTGAATAAAGGAAGGGGCAGCGATGATGAAGTTGTCACTCTTGGGAGCCTATGGATTTCTCCATAGTATGAGGCCACAGCTGAGCTGTTGTCTATTATTAAAAATACTTGTACTCACAGCATTTAACAATAATCCCTCCAACTGCAAGAGAACTGGTTCACTGGATCCCTCAACCACTGTTCTGCACAGGATAATGTATAGGGGAAAAGTGCAGCCTGGTGCTGACTGTAATTTTTTTTTTTCTCCTGCAGGCGGGTAGAGATAGGACACAATTGTTGCCAATGAACTTTCAGTAGATCAAGAATCCTGAACGTTTGAATTGCCCTTTCCTCCAAGTGGGAGGGAAAAAGTCAGTTTCCTGGGCTGGAGCAAACAAAGACTTAGATAAACTTCAAGCCAAAGATAAAAGAAAAAAGGTGAGGAAAAAAGGCCACATGCAGTGGCTCACACCTGTAATCCCTGTATTTTTGGACGCTGAGGGAGGAGAATCCCTTGAAGCCAGGTGTGGTGTTCACGACCGGCCTGGACAACATTGTGAGACCCCTGCTCTACACAATTTTTAAAATTAGCTGGACATCGTGGCACATGTCTGTAGTCCCATCTACTCAGGAAGATAAAGTAGTAGGATCACTTGAACCTGAGTCCTAGGTTTTGATGAGCTGTAAGTCGTGCGGTGCACTCTAGCTTCGGCAACAGACAGAAACCCTGTCTCAAAAAGTGGATGGGTGTGTGAAGACACATTCCAGCCTTGTCTTCAGCTGGGCTGCCCCCCACAGTGGCAGCCCTGTCTAAACATTTGAGATGGAGTTTCTTTTGGCCATGGTATTCGTAAGTCTGTGAATGTAGAATTTAGTGCTACAGGTTTGAGGGAAATTACAATGAGATTTAAAAAACGAGTGCATTTGTTTTTGCTTTTGTTTTTGTTTTGAGATGGAGTTTTGTTCTGTTGCTAAGGACGGAGTGTAATGATGCAATCTCCGCTCACTGAAACCTTCACCTCCCAGGCTCAAGGAATTCTCCTGCCTCAGCCTTCTGAGTAGCTTGGATTACAAGCACCTGCCACCATGCCTGGCTAAGTTTTGTTTTTTTTTTTTAGTAGAGATGGCATTTCACCACGTTGGCCAGGGTGGTCTCAAACTTCGGATCTCAGGTGATCAGCCTGCTTCGGCCTCCCAAATTGTTGGGATTACAGGCGTGAGACACCGTGCCTGGCCAATTCGGGTACCGTTGTAAAATGGCTTTGTGTTTTGTGGCTATTACATCTGGATGTGTGATATTAATGGAAAGCTCCAGCAGTTTGACTACTTTATGCAGTTGCCACAAGCAAGGAATTCATTTTTTCTACAATTCTCACAGGATAAGTGGTAGAGACAAAAGGGATGGATGTTATGTAAACTGATTTTTAAATTTTTTCCAAATTGAGGATTTCACCCTTTCCATTTCATAAATATGATGAATCTTTTCACTAAATTTACAATATAATTTGTTTTTCAGAAGATATTTTTTCCCTTCTGTTCACAATCTTTCTGGAAAAAAAAAAGGTCTGGAGGATGAAACGAGATGATTAAAGAGACAAAAACTTTTTATCACAGAATACTGTATGCTGATTTTTTAATAGTGGAGAAAACAGAAAACCTGGCACATGAGCAGAGGAAAGGGAAGGAAGAAAGACATTGGTTGTCACTGTTTTTCAAAATTGTTACTGGGAACTCTGCACCTTTCCTCAAGAAATACTTCCCACGCAGGCTTTCCAAGCCACTGTGAGCCAATGGTAGAACCACACTCACGGGTGGGCCAGTGATTACCTTACAGGCATTCAGGGAAATCAGCTATCAGTTGAGAGGTATAAATGTGCAATAACACAACCTTAAGAAAGCATAGAAGTGTGAATTGAGTGGATCTACAGCATGTATAAAAAGCATGTATAAAAATTGACAGAGATGGGAGGATCACTTGAACCCATGTGGTTGAGAGCAGCCTGAGTAACACAGTGATGCCCTCCTGCCCCTGCCATTTAAAATAATAATTAAATACACTAAATATACTAGGTGGGCATGGTGGCAGCCACCTGCCGTCCCAGCTACGCGGGAAGTTGCAGTGTGAGGAGGATTGGTTGAGCCCAAGAGATGGAAACTGCAGAGAAGCATGGTCATGCCACTGCCCTCCACCATGGGCAACAGAAAAATACCCTGAGGAAAAAAAAAGCATGTGTAAATGTAGACATAAAATTCTTTATTTCTGTCACAAAAGGTCTTTCTAAGACACACCCCCTACTAAGGGTAACATACAACTCTCTCTTTTCTACGTTTCTGAATCCATGAGAATGGGTGGGCAAGGAACCAAAAAAAATGTCTCGCGTCCCTTTCTTTCTACTACAAACAACCTGGGACTCGGTGAGGGAACAGTGGGAAAACCCTGGCCAGACCTGCATGTGCCTGACTCAGTGTGCATGCCCCTTGCTGCACAAGTCCCTTTGTGGGCATGCACTTCGTCTGTCTGCCTTCTGTCTCTGCAGAGCTGTGCAAGGCGACGTAGTGACTTCCTTCTGCGGTGCCCACTAGGACTCAGCCAGTAGGTTCGCAGATCAGTCCTCCCAGAGTTGAAGTGTGAGAGGGTGTGAGGAGGAGCCCGCGGGCACGGTCCACGGCCTCCTAGGGGAAAGGATCTTGCGGTCCCTGTCCTTCTTCTAACAGGCCAAGATGCAGCATTGTCCTTGCTGTAGTGGGGGTCCTGGACAGGGAAGGCAGCAGGTTCATAGGGCAGAAGAGGGCCTCGTGAACATAGAGTGAGTTTTGAAGGGGAAACTCTTTGTGGTATTTGAGTCCCGGAAGCACAGGAAACCACCCACCAAGGACACATTCTGAAGTCCTCAGTGGGGACCTGGCATAGGGTGCAGGACTGCTAGGTGCAGGTGGGGTGGGGTAGGAGGGGTACGGCGGGGCATGGCAGGAAGGCAGGGCCACAACCCACAAGGCAGGCACCAACCTCACTGCGCATGCTCTTGGTGTGCCCACCTGCCTCAGTGCGCATGTTGACTGGGCGTCTTCCCATCGGCCCCTTCACCACGTGGTGAACGTCGCGGAGCTGTGAGGGTGTGAGGGTTACTTTACTGCGGTCCAGACCCTTTCTACCGCTGCTGAGACTCAGCCGGTAGGTCTGCAGACCAGTCCTCACAGGAATGGAAGTGTGAGTGAGTGTGAGGAGGAGCTTGTGGTTTTCCAGGGCATGGGGCAGTGTGGTCCATGGCCTCCCACGTAAAGAATCTGGAGGTGATAGTTCTCCTCATGCTGGGGCGCCATCTTGGGCCTTGTGGTGAGTTCTGAATGAGGGAGGAAGTTGCGCTGTGGAGTTGCGGGGTCAAGTAAAGACGGGCAGACCGCTGGGGGTGCTTTTGGAGGTATCCAAGTCTTGAAAGGGCCAGGAACCCCAGAGAGAGGATATATTCCAAACTTCTTCGTAAGGACTTGGGAAAGGGCTGGGTGGGAGGTAAGGAGAGGATCTGGAACACAGTGGGTTAGAGACGGGAGCTCACAGCTATATAGAGCGCTTGGCACAGGTGTCCAGTGAGGAGCGCCCAGGGCTTCGTCTCAGTTTCTCAGCTCTACGGTGGACGTTCGAATGGGTGGGACCCTGCGTTCCAACAAAACTTGATTTTAGGTGAGAAATGGGCCTAGCAGATGGGTTTGTGATAAAAGCCGTGATCACTGCAGTTTTAATTCACCAGCTGTATTTTTCTAAAGATCTCCACGATGAAGAGTCCAGTTGTGAAACCAACCTCATCGGAAATAACCCTGTGTCATTGGCCAGGAGCCTTAAGACATTGCTTAGGTAGCTTGACCAATTTAAGGGAGTGTGCAAGCATTCGATTCAGAAGGCGCACACACTCACTTGCCCCGAGACTTACTTTCAAAGCATTACAAAATTTCTTTAAAAAATTGCAAGTTGACATTTCACTATGGAAGTGATCAAATATACCTACCCTGTCAAGTGCATTTTCCCAATCACAGCTTTCTGTTTGCATTGTGAAATATGAATTGACAAGGAAGATCAAGATAGGCCTAGACCAAGACGATATGTACAATGGATTCAGCCGGTTAGGCCCACAGGCAGATCCCACTGGAAGTTGAAGTGTGAGTGAGGGTGAGGAGGAGACAGCAAGCTTCCGAGGGGCGGGCCTCTTGGTCCGTGACTACAAGGGAGAAGGGCCATGAGGCTGTCGTCCTTCTCATGCGGCTCCATGGCTGTGGGCCTTCTTATATTGTCGGAGTCAGAGTGAACGAAGAAGAAGGGCCTTCGAGTGGGCGGCAGGGGTGGGGCACGGTAGTTAAGTGCAGCTGTGGCGATGCTGGGGTGCTGTTGTCAGTATCCAAGTCCCAGAAATGCCTGAAACCCCTAACAGAGGACAGATTCCATACTCCTCAAGGGGGATCAGGGCTGCGATGGTGTGTGTGGTAAGGAAGGGGCCTGGAAAGTGGGAACACTCTGGGCTGGTGTTCCCAGCCCCAGGGTTTGTATAGAGGACCTGGCAGGTGCCAGCCTGGTGAGGATCCCCCACAACTGTGTGGCAACTTCTCAACTCCATCTTGGAAATTCGAGTGGGTGGGCTGGGCTCTCCATTCCAACAAAACTTCCTTTTTAAATGGAAATGGGCCTAGCAAATGGGTGTGTGACAAAAGCTGTGGGCACATTAATTTTAATTATCAAGCTGTATTTTCTTAAATGCCTTACCAAGAAGACACCAGTTATGAAACAAAACCTCATTGGAAATGCTGTGTGTCTCTTGCCATGAGCCCTAAGGCATTGCTCAGCTAGCTTGATAAACTTAATTGGTTGTGCAAGTAATCAACTCAGAAGGCATACACACTTATACATGCCCTCTGACTGACTTTTCAATGTATTACCAAATTTTTAAAAATTGCAAGTTAACATATGGCCTTGGCAGTGGTCAAATATAGTATCCTCTCCCGTGCGTTTTTCCAATCACAATATTCTGGGATTTTTTGTTTTTGTTTTTGTTTGGTTTGATTTGATTTTTTTTGAGATGTAGTTTTGCTCTTATTGCCCAGGCCGGAATGCAATGGCACAAGCTTGGCTGCCTGCAGCCCTCACCTCCGGAGTTCAAGTGATTCTCCTGCCTCTGCCTCCCTACTTGCTGGGATTACAGGCACCTGCCCGCAAGCCTGGCTAAGTTTTTGTATTTTTAGTAGAGGCCGGGTTTCACCATGTTGGCCAGGCTGGCCTTGAACTCCTGACCTCAGGTCATCCACTCACTTCGGCCTCCTAAAGTGCACACTATTCTATTTGCAGAGTGAAATATGAGTGGGCGAGAAAGAAAACATAGACCATTACGACATGTGCGACTTGTTCAGCTGACCAGGCCTGCTGTGAGTGACTTAACATTTGATGTTTTCTATTAGCAGAATGTTGTTGTTGCTGTTGTATTGTTGTAGAATTAGTTTAGATATACTGATGAAGTTCTCCCATGTTGATAAAAAGTGATCATGGCAGCTCATAAAGGAAAGAGTAGCCCAGAGGACTACATACTAGTCTTGTTTGGATGTGTGATCTTGTGTTCCCCAGATTTGACTGGTGATTTCCTCCTCATGCTTATTTATAGCACAGTATACACATTCAACCCCACGTAAATTAAAATGGCGTCCAAAGCCATTGAGGGTAACAGTCTGAGAGTTATCTCTCTAGGGGAAGAGTGACTTTATGAAGAATAAGTATGTGGAATAGTGTTGGATAGTGTTGGGGCATGTCTTTAAACATGCATATGATCAGAAGTATCTATGTAACATGTATATTTATATTATTGACATGCATTGAAAAGAAATTTTTTTATCTGCACACACACACACACACACACACACACACCCCTTTTCCCAGGAGCCCAGTGTGCCAAAGCCTCAACGAGAAGAACCACCAGCTGAAAGTCGGGATCATACACCTGGTCAGAAGAGAGAAGAAGATCAGGGTGGAGCTAAGATTCAAAGTGCTTGTAAGGGTAAGAAAGAATGTGTATGGGGGGAGGAGGCCTATGTGTGCATCATGCCTTATGCCATGACCAGTAACAGGAGGAAAGAAAACATTGGGAAAGAATCTCAAACATTTATTGAGTGTTGGCTAGAAACGTGATGGGTATAGTTTGCAGCTTCCTGCAGTCCCTGGGTGTGATGAATCTTCTCTTTTTCTTCAAGCTGCATTTTGTATGCTTGAAAATACACTCCTTCCTAAATCAGATGAAAGCATTTAATTTGTTGTATGAAAATGTACATTATTGCACTAATTAAATTTGATCTTCTTAGGATGTTGCAGTGTGATCTTCTCAGCCATGGTGTCCACAGTGTTGTAAGCACCTTTTAACAGTATCTGGAGTGCCAAGTTACCCTACCTTATAACACCCTGAATAAAGCCCATTTGCAAAGGAATGTTAGCCTCATTTTGTAAGTAATACAACTGCGGCCAGGCGCAGTGTCTCACGCATGTAATCCCAGCATTCTGGGAGGCTGAGACGGGCAGATCATCTGAGGTCAGGTGGCATCTGAGAACATCTTGGCCAATATGGGGAAAACCCGTCTCTACTAAAAATCCAAAAAGTAGCTGGGTGTTATGGCACATGTCTGTAATCCCAGCGAAGCCTGCTGAGACAGGAGAATCGCTTGAGCCCAGGCAGAGGAGATTGCAGTGAGGCGAGATTGCACCACTGCATTCCAGCCTGGAAGACAGAGTGAGACTAGGTCTCTAAATGAATGAATAAATAAGAAAACTGACACTCAGAGATTGAGACTTACCAAGAACTCTTGACTCATGGAGAAAGAATTTATATTTTGTTCCAAGGTTTGCATTGTTCCCACCATCTGTGTTAGAAAATGTGAGTGATTTTGCTTAAAAATGCTTAATACTCAAATGTGTCTGTACTGTAACATACTTCAGTATTGGCTCAGGACTAAATGCAGTTCAGTGAAGCAGGATAGCAACCCCAGAAAAGATGCCAATGAATGACAGCCACTGTTTCCTTTGGTGTGTATTTTTGACAGTATGTTTGGTAAAAGGTGGATAATTCAGGACACTGGCCTACAGATAACTATATTAGTAGGATTTTGAAAGAGATTTTAAAAGTCATTTCAGTATTTTTTAAATTATTAAACGCAAAGTGTGATAAGATTATCATGAAACAAATTGTTTCCTCAACAGATGGCATTTTCAAACTAAAGATAGACAGAATTTTGGCTATGGACTATTTTAGCAATTCACTGTTAAGGGGGTTCTAGAATATGACAGTGATCAATGCCCATTAATTTCTTTGCATATCAGTTACCACACTCTCATTGGAAGACAGTGATTTTGCTATTGTATTTTGTACTGTTTATTAATGACATTCATGTATGGAAGGTCACATATAGGGCCTTTGGACCAAGCATTACTTTAATTAAGACTAACCCCAACATTTTCAAGGTACCTCAACAAGGGATGAGTGTCATGACTATAAGATTTGTCATAGGCCCACCAACACATTGATGTATACCTTCAGAAAATTACATTAAGTTTTGATTAAAATGCTATCTGTGGGGCAGCCTTAAGGTTTCCTAGACAGCTGTGTGTTGATAATACACAATGGTAAAGTATGGGAAATGTAGGTGTGGTGTGATTTATCCTCAGATTGTCATTTAAGATAAGATATCATAATACAGGAAGACAAAAGTGGGACATCTTTGCATCAGATTTATTACGACAGTAGCCTAGAGGCTTTTATTGCATAACACTGAGGAAAAGAATATGATCATTTCCTTATTTAGCATTCTTGTTTCACTGCTCCAATCTATATCCTTTATATTTTTTAGTGCCTGAACTGAAAGCTGATCTCCAGAAGCTGTCTCAGTCAAAGACTGGGGGTGAATGCGGAGATGGTCGTGATGTACAGGGGAAGAGTGTGCCAAAATCAGAGGAATTTAAAATGCCGGAAGGGGGTACGTTATCCATTAAGATTCAAAATTATGTGCTTTCTTTATTCCACAATATTATACTTTTGATAATAAAAAGAGAGCACATTACTGCCCCGTGAGAAACAGAGTTTAAATGCAGACTTTCTTTGGAAGGTAGTTCAGATCCCAGAATCCTGACTGCAAAAGTGAAACACTATCAGATACAGACAGAAATTGAGTCAAAGCTATATGGAATCATCAAATCAAAAAAATTTTCTTCTGAGTATCACCAACAGCTAACAATTTTCAGATTATTTTCTCATTTCTGCTTTTCTCAAATACATTGTAACGCCACCTTGTATGAAATATGCCGACCCTGAAGGAGATTCTAGTACCAGCTCTAACGCAAGTTTTGAGATTCTGAACAAATCTCATAAGTTCTAAACTCGTTTTTCTTTTACTGAAAGTAGTGAATGCCCATCAGATAGATTCAAATCCATTTCGGTGCTGGTTTCTGGATGCTCTAGTTCTGTTGGAGAGAATGCAGAGATATTCTTATTTTCATGATTTGTTTTTCATAATAATGAGCTTCAGTCCAATTATAATATCCAAGTTGAGATTTCATTGTCCCTAAAAAAATGAGTGGGCACTCTGCTTGATGTTTGTTTACGTTTTATGGAGACTATCATGAGTGTTCTTGGATTTTGTCACATCCTGAATTCTCTCAGGGTGTTAAACAATTGCATTTATTTTTTTTTTTCACACAGTCTCACTCTGTCACCCGGGCTGGAGTGCAGTGGTCCGATCTTTTTTCACTGCAACCTTCCGCCTCCAGGTTCAAGCGATGCTCATGCCTCAGCCTTTTTTGTAGCTAGGAATAGTACGTGCTCCCCATGCCCAACTAATTTTTGTATTTTTAGTAGAGACGGGGTTTCACCCTGTTAGCCAGGCTGGGCTTGAACTCCTGATCTCAAGTGATCCACCTGCCTTGGCCTCCCAAAGTGCTGGGATTATAGTGGTTGAGCCACCTCCCTTGCCAGACCCAATGGTTGCATTTTAAAGTCTTCCTGCGGTGAAGCCTTGAATTACTGAATAATAAAACAGAAAGAGATAGTCACGTTTTCTGATTCATGAAATAGGGATCATACATGTAAATCAGTGATGTTCAAGCTGGTTGTAAGATGCCTGTGCTAAGCATGCTCGCTGCTCTCCTGTAAATCTTCCTAAGCTACTGTGTGTAATTAGACTGAAGACACACATGGTAACCTCTAACCATATCAGAGGTTATATATTACAGGTTTCTGCCTTGAGTCTTCAAGCGATATGATTTAAAGTTCAAAGACTATAATGTACTAAGTCCTGAGTAGTCTACATAGGTATCTTTTAGACGTATTTTCCAAATTGCTGACTTAATTAAAAGAACCTCTGAATTGAAACGAAGCACTGAAAAAAAAAAAAAAAAAAAAAAAAAAAAAAAAAAAAAAAAAAAAAAAGAAACGAAGCACTGCTTGTTTAGGGGAGAAATTACCTAAATGTTTGTACTCCACATTGCTGAACAACTTCATTAGACTATTTACATTAAAAGACTGTTTTCAGACGATTTCCAGGAGCCTATTGACCAAGCTTCAATCGTATTCTTAGGATAGTCATAGCATTAAAAGTATATCTTATTAAAATAGACAGTAAATTACGTGTAAATAATATTAAAATAATAAATGAGTCACAGAATAAACTTAAGAGAAAAGGAAACAGGCAGTAAATGAAAGATGCAAATCATTAACAAAAGTAAAACTAATCTGAAAGTAATACATTTAATAGATTTTTTTTTTTTTGAGAAATAGCTGGGAAGGGAGCATCCAGTAGATTAAACAATCTTGAAGAAAATGGAAAAGGCACAACATGGTATATTAGTGAACAAGGCACAGGTATTGAATGTAGGGCATAACTGAAAGGGAATACATTCTTGAACACTAATGTTTTCAGAGTGTGGATCAAACGGTTGAAACGCCAGAAATGCCTACATTATTTAATATATTCCTGCAATACCTCAGTATCTGAACGTCACAAAGGCTGTGGAAGAACTTGTGAAATTTGCCAGTTGTCCCTCAAAAACAGTTACTTTTAGAAGGAAATATTTAGCTTTTCCAGATGTCAAACTCTTCGATTTGTTTCCCTCTCCTTTTTTTTTTCCACACTGGTTATGATGTATAACTCTTTCACATTTTAATATATATCATGATAGTGATACCTTAAAACATATATGACCATTTAATTAACTATACAAATCAGAATACTTTCCAGTGAAAAATGTGTCATTATTTATATTGACATGAGGACTATAGGTGAAAACTGGATGCAAATGGTTAGTGTATGTTAAAGAAAAAAGAAGGGCAAACTAGGTCAAAGGAATATTATTGCACTTCCACACAATAGAGAGAAAAAAACACAAAACTGTCCTTTCTGTTCACTTCACTTATGTATTTCCTAATGTGACATTAACTGTTTTCTCAAAAGATAGTTTTCAGACTATTTGCAGGAGCCTATTGGATATCCAGGCCATAGTTTCAAGCCAAAACATTAAATTATACATTTTTTTCTGAAGGATTTTTTTTTTCCAGAAATTCCTTCTGTTTCTTAGGATTTTGTGTTCTGGTTGTAGTTCGAGTAAAACTCTACACAATGTTTGCTATCTAATCTAAGCCCCTTCTAATAGGCTCACTTGATTTAATGTGTTCTGAGTTTAGACTGTCTTTTGGTTTCCTTCTAGCACTAAAAGCAGGGTGTGCTTAAACAATGTTGCTACTGTATATGCATGGAAGTGTATCTTCAGAGTGTCTACAGAGGTCTAGTTGAATGCTAGCCATGTGGTGACTCTTGGGCTTCTGGTTTTAGTCCATTGTATAAAATGAAAACTTTGATGTCCTTTGCATACCTTTAATTTCATCTGAATACAGTTGTGCTAGTAATGTTCCCTCCTGTTATGTTTCTCTTGCAGCAGAAGAGAAACCACAGGTTTAAACGAAGACGAGCTGAAAGAATGCAAACTGCATTTATCTGAGATATTTGACTTTTAAAAATCTCAATAAAGTTTTCCAGTTTTCTCCAAAGAAGTTTTGCACGTGTTTTGTTCATTTATTCTCACATAATAGACACTATTGAAAATTTTGGCCTGGTGAAGTTGCTCACACCTATAATCCAACAGATGGGGATGCTGAGGCAGGAGGATTGCTTGAGCTTGGGAGATTGAGATGTGCCTGGGCAACATGGCAAAACGCCTTCTCTACAAAAATAAATGAATGAATGCATGAATGTATACCTGTGTGTGTGTAGGTGCAGCCCCAGCTACTCTGGAAGCTGAGGTGGGAGGATCCCTTGAGCCTAGGAGTTCGAGGATGAAAGTAGTCATGTTTAAGCCACTGCAACTCCAGCCGGGGTGAATGAGACTCATGTCTCAATAGAAAGCATAATTTTTCCAACTTTGTATTCTGATTTGGCTGATATATATATATATTGTGCTGGACCCTGCTTACTGTCATACAACTATAATTTGTAGAAACTCCACATACTGATGCCTTTTTGTATGCTGGTGAGTTGACCAATAGCTGGGAGCTTCTAGGTAGCTCTAGGATGGGGGATTAGAAGGTTAGCCTTTCAGCCCCATCCCCAACCTTCAGGACACAGAGAGGGCTGAGGTTAAGTTAATTTCCAGTGGTAGGCCAACTGTTTAATCAATCATGCCTATACAATGAAACCTCCATCAAAACCCAAAAAACAGGGTTCAGAGAGCTTCTGCCTAGCTGAACACATGGAGGGTAGCATGCTCGTAGAGGCCATGGAAGCTCCCTGCCTCTTCTTCCATCTTTCCTTCCCGTGTGTATGTCTTTATCTGCATCCTTTGTTAAGATACTCCATTTGCCACAAAAATATGTGAGAATTCCCTAGGCTATAGAGCTGGATGCAAGAACTAGGGCCTAGGTAGACAAAGGGGGAAAGCAACCAGGGAAACTTGCTGAAGCAAAATTACTTGGATTCCACCTACACTGTCTCCTTACAGGCTATGGCATGACACAGCCGTGGGATTCCATCCTGCCTCTCACACACTGGCCTTGAGATGGTGGGCAAGACACTTATATCCTGTCAGACTGTTTCCCCATTTCTAAAGTAGAAATTAGAATATTTACACTAAATGCTTGCTATCAGGAATAAATGAAATAACATAGGAAGCAGACGTTACACTAAAGATAAATGTACTAGTTATCTTTCCTTAGTCCCTTTTACATTTCAAATATTTTCATTCCATTTTTGTTTACAACTACATCTCTAGTATGTGTTAACTGCTTTGGAATTTCAAGTAAGAATATCAAGCTACCTTTTTAAATGCATTTGACTTCAGAATCTTATTTGATTTAAATATATAAATTAAATAGCATTGTGGCAGGTATCAGACATGGTATGGATTCCGAAGGTGATTTGTAAATAATCGAGGTGTGACAAGGCCAACCCTGTGTCAGTAGTATGTGCCAAAAACTTGTTTGGTGTGTTTGTTGCCATGAAGAGTAAGTCTATTCCAGTCAGACAGCACCACACAATTCAGTATTGTAGTGTGTCAAGAGCTCAGGCAGTCCCTAAGCAGCCCTGTGGTGGCCAACGAGGCCACAAGGATCGCCAGTTCAGTTGTTATTTTGGCTTGTGATACATTCGTAAACTTGACGGGTAAGAAGACTGAGCCTAAATGGAACGAAGTGGTTGATTACTTGCAGACGCAGCAAAGGCAGGATCAACATTGTGTCAGCGCAGTGTTCGTAGACCCACAGTACGACACTGAATCGGAGATACTCAGTGACAGCACAGATGGTGGGTCTCTCGTCCTGTGAGGAGCCCACAGTCATACCCTAAGGCCAATTTTGAAACCACACTGAATCCTGAACCCAAAATCACACTTGACGGAGCTGGGACTATGGGACAGCAGGGGTGACCCAGCTCCAAAACATCCCACACAGAACACCTAGGGGTGTCATCCACGCCTGTGAAGAGGAGGAACCCGTGTCAATGACCACCCTGAAATGACTGCCTTCTGACAGTTCCCCTAAACCAAAGATGCAAATCAATTGTTTGGACTGGAGGAGGAACCTTAGAGGGAAAGGTCCCTCAGTGGGAGG